ACATAGTGTGGAAAGATGGATTGGAAAATCTGACGCTCACGGGACAGATTGAGAGCAATTCTGTTTTAGTTAATTCCCCCTTGCTAACACGACTCTCCAAGATTTTGTTCACTTCTGCTGTGGCTCTGTATTAAACTCACAACTCTTTGGATCATGTCGCTTTTTGATCACTCAACCACTGAGCTAGATTTCTCTTTTTCTTTTCTTTCCTGGTCACCCATTGCAAATGTTACGGGTGTTTTAAATATCAATTCGGCTTTATACCCTTCTTTATCTAAGGCCCTTTTATAACCCTTTTATAATTTGGTTTCTTCAAATATTGCCATGTCTGGGGAATTTCTACACTTAATTCCCCCGAGGTATATGGTTGATTACTGCCTTAGGGTGGTCAGACCTACTGTTGATGATTACTGATTGGTAGAGACCAGGACGGCAGGAAGGTTGGTTTTCTAAATATTTCATGTCTCAGATTGCACAAGAGTTTCGTTTTCGGAAAAATGTATTGAGTGCAAGTCGGTTTTTTTGTTTTTTGTTTTGTTTTTTTGTTTTTTTTTTTGTTTTTTTTAGAAAAATCTGTTTTTTGTCAAAAGTTGAATTTTTTTTAATTCAATTATATATATCACATATGTAATACATTTCAGGAAGTTCCCCCCCCCTTTAAACTCAGTGGAAATAGGGCGAGAAATCACTTCAACAAAAGCAGCAGAACAAATATGAACTTTAGACAGAAAGTGTACTTTCTAGACATTTGCTGTGTGGAAATATTAGTTGTTCAGTTTATTTCCGACTAGAAGTAGAGCCCGGCGTTGCCCGGGGATGTAACAGTAAGAGATAGATCAAGTATCGACCATCATAAAGACTGAAAAATAAAATTGACAAAGATTATTGTTTAAGGTTGACGGTTTTTTTTTTTTTTGGTTTTGTTTTGTCTTTTTTGCGAATTGGTCAAACCCAAACTCAAACAAAAACATTTATTTTATTATAAACAATAGTCTTATAAATGGAACTTTTAAAGCATTCTGAATGTAAAAATAAAGAAAAAAATGTGCAAGACAATAAGAAACACTAGCTGCCAAAAAAAAGTGAAGTTTTGTTGAAATCGGTTGAAAAATGTAGGAAATCCGATCCCGTATATAAACGAAGACACACACACACACACACACACACACACAAACAAGCTGGGTTTTATAAGTATAACTCGATATGAGTTGTCCCCCTTTAATTCTGGTGACAGAATCGTGTTTTCAAATTGATTTCGTGCAAAAACAATTGTGTTTTTCCAATTTTTGGCGCTGTCAGAACCACCGCAAGGTAATTTTACGTAGTCCTGTGAAGTTTTGTTGGAATCAGTTGAAAAATGTAGGAAATCCGATCCAGTATATAAACTTACAGACACACACACACACACACACACACAAACTGCGTTTTATAATAAGTAATATATATATGTGTGTGTGTGTGTGTGTGTGTGTGTGTGTGTGTGTGTGTGTGTGTGTGTGTGTGTGTGTTAACACTGAATTCAACATTCAGAGGCAACAGACTGTTTCATGCTAGACGCAATCGTCAGGTCGCCTATCTCTGATATTGAGCAATTTATCCTTTAAAACTATATTCCTTCATATATATATATATATATATATATATATATATATATATATATATATATACTGTCAGGAAGTCTCCTTCCTGATGTTATCGGTCTGGAGTGGGACGATCCCAGCGTGCAGCACCTTTGAAAGTGCCTGAAATCCATATCACGGGTTGACCCAAGCATTGTGAGCGAAATTGGGTAGACGGAACTTTTGCCGGAGCTGTCGATAGTTGTGCTAGCACGAAGTCACAAGTCATCGTGACCGAGGGTTTGAGTGTGCTGGCCTTGTTCAGATTGTTGATCACGCTAGATAACACGCTCTCTCCCAGAAACTGTAACTAAGGTCTGTTCAACAGTTTCAGTATAAACGACAGGTGGGCCCTGTCGGTGTTGAACAAACACAATTGTGCCTGAGCGAGCGTCTGCAATAGGGATTGGCTAGCCGCCCTAATAGACGGGTATCCTCGAATACGAAACTGTCTGTCTGTGGATGACTATATATATGCTGCCGGAAATCCGGTTGAGCTCTCTAGGGAAAGGGGGTTTCATAAAACAGCGGCTCCTACTGCTATTAAGCATTAATTGAGTTCTCCGAGCCGCTGGCGTATTTCGTATAAAGAAAAATGTTACATTTCCCTTCGTTTTTGCCGTGGGTTAAGATATATGACTGATATCGAATCAGTCGGTTTTCGATCCCGGTTTGAAGCAATCGGACGTCTAGTCATACTAAATAGCTGTGATACAGTGAAGCAGTCTGTCTGTAGATCTCTCTCTCTTATATATATATATATATATATATGTGTGTGTGTGTGTGTGTGTGTGTGTGTGTTTGTGTGTATTTGTGTGTGTGTGTAGTAGAAGAAAGAAATTCGAGAAGCAAAAATACAGCAACGATAATAAAATATATTTATTGTATGTTTTAGAGTTTGCCGGACAGTATCATCACAGAGAAGAAGAAAGTTGAAGCGATAGAAATGTAATTCTACAGAAGGATACTGAGAATACCATGGTCCGAACATGCGAGCAAAGACGAGAAAATACAAACAACAAGGATATTTATACTTAACATTAGGAAGAAACTGTTGAAATTTCAAAAAATCATAATGAGGAAAGAGGGCTTGGGAAATTTGATACACACAGGACATGTTGAAGGTAAGAGAGGAAGAGGAAAACAATTCATAACCTACGTAGAGAGCTTGAGGTTGGACGGAGAAAGGTTTAGGGGAGATAACAAGACATCCAAATTTATTAAAAGGACAGGAAATAGGGGAGAGCCATCGTCACCAACGTCATAAAGAGACACAACACATAGACGAATAAACCAAATAGAAGCACGATGAGAAAATGTGTCTTTCTAACAAACACCTAAGATTTACCATCTTCTATAAAATGATTAAAACATCTAATTTAATTATTAACAACAATAACGAACATATCTAAAAAAATAATGTCTATCATTTTTAATATCCCCCCACACCAGGGAGATTGCATCTCCAACACCAAAAATAAAAAAAACAGCATTGAATACTTGCATCAGGCCGACATGCACCACACTACCTCACAGATTGACTTGCCACCTATCGGAACTCAGTGCAGTCTGTGCTCACATCGACCAGCACATAGTGAACGTCCAAAATACAACTATCAGCATAAGACAAATATTAATCGAAAATTGGAAAAATATAAAAAAAATTTAAATGGACCGACCTTGTCGGTTCTTTTAAATCAAGCTTGTTTGGCTGAATAATTACTGCTTAAATATATATACTTTATCATATATGTTCGATGCTTAATCGTGGCGAAGACAGATTCCTGTCGACTCAAGAGAATGTTGACCTTCCTCCGTACACAGCCATTGGTTTTTGAGATGCAGAGGAGCTTTTCCAACTATTTGTTCTCAAACGCCTGGATCATTTTTCTTTCATCAACCTGGAGGGTCCAAGTCTCAGAGGTGCATACGACCAGCAATTTGTAGACCTTGAATTTGGTCTGGAAGCTTATGTTGCTCTTCCGTAGAGTTTGTCTAACTGAGTATAAATACTGAGTAGTGAATCCGATGCTCAGTAGATGCCACATACTTGTGGCATTTTGGTTAGCTTCGAGCTACCAGAGAGTCCGTTATGTTATCATGCTACAAATACCTACCCGCTGTTGATATGACTAACTGACGAAAATGATTGGTTGAGAGTTTTTCTTGAATTGCTATGAATTGTTCTCATGGGATTTCTTTCATGTGTAACTTTTTTCTCGGTGATCTTTGTCCGTAAATCGTTCTCTCTTTTGTCGTTTTTTGATTTTTTCTTTTCTTTTGGATTTTACGATATATTTTCGTTTTGGATTACTATCTCTGGAACCTGCTAATTGATGGTATTGGACTATTCTTCTTTTGGACGTGTGCCTTTCGATATTCCTTCCGTTATTCTTGAATAAATCTCCTTGTGGGTTAAAGAACCTTTTTCTATTTGGATCTTTTTTATCTGGATTTTTATTCCTTTTGGTTGTTGGATTATTCGTCTTCTAGACTTTTTTCTCCTTGGATATTTCTTCCACATTTCTTGGATAATTCTTCCTTTGGGTTAAAGAATCTTTCTCTATTTGGATTATTATATCTCAATTTTTTTTTTTTGATTGTTGCCATTGTTACTTTCTTTGGGGGGTACTGTATGTTTCTTCGCTTGGATTATTTCTGAATCTTTATTCATTTGTAATTTTGTCACTGGATATTTGTTTCCTGTTCTTCTTAGATATTTCCTCCTTTAGGCTACTGGATGATTCTTTCTTTGGATTATTCTTTCTAAATCTTTCTTCCATTGGATTTTTGTCCCTGGATATTTCTTTTGTATTTGGATAATTCATTTGCGTTACAGAACTTTTCTCCGTTTTGATTATTATTTCTGTTGTAGAGTAGTTTTCACAGTGGAGGCTTGTATTTCGCTAAGTCGGTCCTAAAAGGGTTCGACATACAAAACGTTAGGAACTTGAAATAATAATTAATGACGCAGCAATCTAGTTGTGGTGGTTGATACTTCAATGTCCGACATCGACTAACTCACTCAACTCCACTAAGCCCAACTGGCGACCGCTACTTCTACTACTACTTATTATCAGTGGGAGAGTCTATTACAATAGAATAGGTAATGTTCTAGTATAACAATTTCAGAGTCTTTTTTTCCTTTTGATTGGTGTATCTGGACTATTTTCCCCTTTGAATTTTTGTCTTTGGATATATCTCCGTTTGTTCTTGGATATTTCTTCCTTTAGGTTGGTGAACCTTTCCTCATTGGATTATTCTTTCTGGATCCTTCTTCCTTTGATTATTGTTACCGTATTTTTTTTTTTTTTTTTTTTTTTTGGTTTGTTCTCAGATTATTGTTCATTTGAATTGTTTTCCTTGACCTTTAAACTTTAGATTGTTGTTACTGGATTTTTCTCCTTTGCCATCCTCTGTTTCTCCTTATTTGTTTCTTTCTTTCTATCACTTATCCTCTCTCTCTCTCTCTCTCTCTTTCCCTTTTACACTCATATTGTCTCCTTTTCGTTCTCTTTTATTCCTCTCTTTAACTCTTTTTCCTTCTCTTTTTTCTCCTAAGTTTTCGTCTCTTGCTCCCTCTCTTTCTTTCCGTTCTCATCTCATTCCCACGTTTTCTCACTCACTGTTTTTCCTTTCCTTTCTTCTCATTCCCTCGCAGTCGTTTTTTTCTTCTTTTTTCTTTTCTCCCTTCCAAAAGTTCTTATCTCCTCCTCCTCCTCCCCCTCCTTTCTCTTTTGTTATCAATCACTTTATCTCTCTTTCCGCCTACTCTCTTTCTCTTTTCATTTTTTTCTCCCCGCTTTCAATCTCTATTTGCTTTTCTCTCTCTTTCTCTCGCACTTACTATCTCTACACCAGTCTCATTCCCGCGCTTTCTCAATTGTTTTCCTTTTCTCTTTTTTCTTTCTCCTTCCCTCGCTATCGTCGTCGTCTTCTCCTTTCCCTTCCCTATTCTATAAATTCCTTACTCTCTTTCTCTCTCTCATTCTCTCCTCCTGGCTACTTAGATACCCGCCACGCCTCTTTCCCAACGACTTTTTCATATACTTATCTAAGTTAGTCAATACTTATAAGAGGCTGTTCCGTCTGCTTTGCAGGATTTTGTTTCAAGTCTTTAAAAATCTTGCACAATTTGCAAACACCCAGTAAAAAAAAACATAAAGACAATATAAAATAGAAAACCAGACAAAAAAAAAACGGCAAAGATACCCCCAAAATGCCGACGAAGTCATTAACTTATATTCGCATCAATAAGCATTTTATTTGAGACACGCATATGAACTGATAAAAACAGTATCAAAGAATTGTATACACTAAAACGTATTTTAGTCTTTATGTATCATGATAAGTAAAAGGCTGATACCAAATTATGGTGTTTTGTTAACATGTTCAAGTCGTCTCATCAAATATTCAGAACAACAGCAGTAGTTAAACTTAAAACATCATACTTATTATAAAACCCAGGTTGTGTGTGTGTATGTGTGTGTCTGTCTGTTCGCTTATATATTGGATCGGATTTCCTACATTTTTCAACCGATTTCAACAAAACTTCACAGGACGACGTAAAATTACACGGCGGTGGTTCTGACAGCGCCAAAAATTGGAAAAAACACAATTGTTTTTGCACGAAATCAATTTGAAAACACGATTAAGAGGCATCGCTGTCGCGAGAATGAAACGGGGACAACTTATATGGAGTTATACTTATAATACCCAGGTTGTTTGTGTGTGTGTGTGTGTGTGTGTGTGTGTGTGTGTGTGTGTGTGTGTGTGTGTGTGTGTGTGTGTGTCTTCGTTTATATACGGGATCGGATTTCCTACATTTTTCAACCGATTTCAACAAAACTTCACTTTTTTTTTAGCAGGTAGTGTTTCTTATTGTCTTGCACACTTTTTCTTTATTTTTACATTCAGAATGCCTTAAAAATTCCATTTTCAAGACAATTGTTTATAATAAAATTCTATTCAATCGATAGACTCATAACGATTGAAAACAATGTTTTTGTTTGAGTTTGGGTTTGACCAATTCGTAAAAATCCGTCAACCTTAAACAATAATTTTATTTTTCAGTCTTTATGATGATCGATACTTGATCTATCTCTTACTGTTACATCCCCGGGCAACGCCGGGCTCTACTGCTAGTAAGGAATAAAATTCTTTCTACCTTTTATATATTAGTCAACAAAGAGTGTACGATATGCAGATAGTGAAACATTTGCCAGTGTGGAGAGTAGAATAAGTCAGCCGAATTCAAATTCCTGTCTGTTGCGTTTATTTTCGCACTAACTCTCTTGAGTTAAGCAGGAATTCATCTTTATCCGATCTCTGTTTATTGATTAAATGGATGGATGATTTCGTTTAGTGTCTCCCCCCTATACCAGTGAATGTTGGACAATATCCTCACAGATGAAGAAGAGACTTGAGACAACAGAAACTCAGTTCTACAGAAGGAATACAAAGAATATGTGAGCAACGATGTAGCTTTAAGGAAATTAGAAACAAAAAGGACTCTATTACGTAGAATCAGGAAAAGGAAATTGAAATTTCTAGAGCATATAACGAGGAAAGATGGCTTGGAAAATTTAACACTCTCAGGAAACATTCAAGTCAAGACGGACAGAGAAAAGCAGCATGTAACCTGTCTAATTAGCGTGTGTAAATGATTGACAAGGGATCTGAAGATATAGTAAAAACACAAAACTTACGAAGAGCTAAAATGACAAGAAGGTATGGAGAGCCATAATCGCCAACTTCCTGAAGGGACACGGCATATAAAAGAAATGCGTCTGAATTTATACTTCTTAGATATTTTTATCAGCCTGGATGGCTATGAATATGAAAAAGCATTATTATTATTATTATTATTATTATTATTATTATTTTGCTTAGTAAATGTTACCCCCCCCCCACTCCACCAGTTTCAAGGAGAGACTCTAAGAGAAAAAATTTGTTTTTCCTTTAGAAGATGCAAACAGATTATGTTCCATGTAATCAAAAAAAAATTGTGGACAGGTAGTGTTTCTTATTCTCTTGCACACTTTTTTCTTTATTTTTACATTCAGAAGGCTTTAAAAATACCAATTGCCTTGTAAATGGATTTTTTTTCTATTTATAGATTGATTGATTCATTTTCTACGGGTTATCAACCCTTTTCAGGTTATTTAAAACCAGAAAATATTTTTAGAATTTTAGTAATTTTTTTTTTTTTTTTGTGCAGAAGAAGGAGATAATAATGATTTAGTGATACAAGTCTTACTAATTAACCCATAGCTGGGGACAGAAGAGATGGATTCCTACCATAATTGGAACTCGGCTCTCCTACTAACAATTTCGGCATGTTACCCATTACATCACCCGAGACTGGTCAATACCGAGATGGGTGAGCACTTGGGAATACCTGATGCGGTGTTTTTTCTGAAACTTTATTTGAGGAATATTAGCAGATTTGAAGTATAATTAATCTGATTAGCGACATTTACTATAAGTTTAAAATATCACAGAAATGCACTTTTTTAATCCGACATTAGCTATTTATTTAAGCTATTGACCTGTGTGACAGCTTGATTACAGATGGCTGTTTATCTAATCTTGTTTTATAACCGTAAAAAATAACTGAATATAGCGTGAGCACCTTTTATTATATAACTTTTAAGTACTCAGTAAATCTTTAAAAAATAGGAAAAATTTCTTTGTAATCTAATGTTTTATTAAATTTTGGAAATTTTCGCTTTCAATTTACTATAACTATTATCGCTCGTATTTTCTGATTATGTCGTGTATGGTCACCCGTATCTACAAAAATCGGTACGTTTATACACATAAAAAATTCAAAATTCTTTAAAAAATATTAGTGTTTGAAGATTTTGCATTTAAGATTAGCAAATATAGTTTTTACTTAATAATAAAATCATCTAAAAGGGTGGAATTAATACAGTATTTTAAAACATTTAAAACTTACATTATTATTAATTAAAATTGTTCTAATGAAAATTTTGAAAAATTAAAACAATTCTTGTAAAAATTCATTATTCATCGATTTTTTATTTAAGACAATAGTGTCCTTAATATATCTTATTTATAAAATTAAAAACTTTCTAATTAAATAATGTTATAGTTTTCAGAGCAGATTTTTGGTAAATGATGATTTAAATTTTCCAAGAAATCTTGATTTTAACTAATACAAATATGAGGAGGCTGGAATTTTAATTCCTCAAAATTTCATAAAATTAAGTATCAGATGTAAGAAATATATTTCTACCAAAATTTTCTAAAACAAATTTCAAACATAATTTAATTCATTTGTAAATAAGTCGTGAAATTTAATTAAAATCCGACAATTATCTGATTTTTCCAAAACAATGTTTTTAATGTAAAAAAAGACGTTAAAATTTCCAATACTAATCAAGAAAATCAAAATGTTTAACCAAAATTTCGAACGTGCTAGAAAGGATAAAAAAAATTAATAAAATGATAAAAAATACTTTGGTCTTTCCTCTTAATAATAACATAAACATTTTGACGATAAAACTATGTTTTTATGAAGTTTAGGTCTCGATTGTTATGCTTTTTTTAGTGAATATTTGGAGGTACCTAATTAAAGAATATCCTTACGATGTTGATATGAACCTGATAGGTGAATTAAAACATTTTCATGCTTATGTTGTCCAAAAGATGAACATGTTAGCCACAAGTTTCTTTATGAGATAATCTACAAAGATAAAATTTATCAAGCTTTTCCAAACGAAGATATTTGACGATTATTCCAATGCTTGATGGTTAGAAATTGCTCAGAAAAAAAAGATATTTTTTCACTGGTAAAAAGAATAAAAAATCAACTTCGAACAAACAAGTCGCAAGACACGTCATGCTGCAATCTTTTTGATAAAATAATTAATGATTTTACCAGAGAAAACCACGGAAAAGTGTGTTTTAAATAAAAAGGGAATTATTATTAAATTTAGTTTTGTTCAAATATTTGTACTGGATATTTGCCATTTGTTAAAGACAGCAATAATTTTCATGCGGCAAATGGAATAAACCAATTAATTAGTTATCTAAATAAATAAACGACAAATTCTGTCTGTTCGTCCGTGTGACTGAAACCTCTCTAACTCGGTCCACATTTACTCTACACAGACATATTATACCTTTTTGAAATCAGGATAATTCGGGGATGTGAAAATCTGCCCTTCATCTGGTGTTTGAACAGCCAGCGTTGAAATTGATGTTTGGATGAGGAGGAAACAGTTAAGAATTCAACTTTTAAAATAACCCCAAAAAATTAGTGATTTAAAAAGATATTAATTTATCCTGAGTTTAAAGTAACTTTGTGAATTTTAAAAAAAAAAACTGTTTTAAATTCAGTTTAAAATGTCTCCCAAACTTTATGAATTGAGGAAATCAATTTTATTTCTTTAAAATGCCAAAGAATCAGAGTTCAAGTGAGAATTTTTCGCGAATTTGTGATTTGAAGAATAATTGAAGTTCCAAGTTCATGATTTAAAGAACTCAAATTTTCGGTCCGAACTGAAATTTCGGCACAAGTCGAAGTTTCGGCCAAAATCGGTCTTTTGAATTATAGCCTGAATCTGCTCTTAAAGTGAGGTTTTGAAATCCCGCAGATTGAATTGAGATATCCAAAGTTATTTCTTCAAAATTGTCATTGCTCCTTTCTAAGCTGGACTAGAAACCCTTTGGTTTTGGGGCCGGAGGCCCAATAAGCCTTCCACAGGAGTTAGCTTAAACGTCCGCACGGAGTGTGTCTTTTAAGCTAGTAAGGAATAATTTGGAACTAATTTAAGTTTGTAATCATGAATAAATAATAATCATGTATAATTATATAAAAAAAATTTTTACCCGAATTTTTTAAAACAAAGGTCTCGAATTTCAAATAAATGTGGGCCTCAGCAGGTGAAAGTCCGGTTCTAATGTCTTGGTATATAATATTGCTTTGGAAGCATTTACTTTTTAAGGGACATTCATTCTTCGCTCAGTAGATACTGGCGGGTTAGGTTTGTGTAAGTGATTTGTTGGTAATTTTCTTGTACTATTTTATTATTT